CTAGTATCTTTTCAGTAACAAACTCTTTCTTAATTTAGCATATGCACTACAGGTTTGTACTTCTTAACGGACAAAACAAACAAAGCAATATCTACATGCACATTCACATGGAATAAAAATAGCAGTATTGGCCAGACCCAAAATATCTTTTGTCCTGTGTGATGTATACAGTGAGTCTTGCAATTTTTACAGCTGGGGCCAGGGTAGTCTTGTACTATACATTTTACACAACCAAAGAGGTGAGGCTTATTTTTCAGTGAAGAATAGTAATTATTAACAATCAATTGACAAGGGGTTGTTGGACAGAATAGAATCATTTCAAATAGAAAGACAAACATAACACTGATTGGGTACTGATTCTGAATCATGGCGAATAGGAGGGTTGCATAGCAACAAGCTACCTATACATCTCACAATACTGATAACACACAGAAACAAGGAAGTTTTAAGGCTGGCAGAAAATTAAGTTGATGAAATAAATAAAAGCAAACTGCCTAAAAAATTAACTAACCTGTGCTGGGATTGGGAATAAGGCACACATTACACAAAGATTATCAAGGTTTGGTTATATCATTTGACACATCACCGTGCTGTGAGTAAGATGACTCCTGCATGCAGGAAAAAAATATAAGGTTTTGGAAAAAAAAAAATATAAATAAATAAATATACATAAATAAAAAGATGGCTGAACATAATCAAATACACACAGATTACAGCTGGAGCAAACAACAAGATAAATATATTTTATTACTCAAGTAGTAGCATTGGCTGACAACACAGCTATATGCAAACAAGAATACAAATTTCTTGTCTTGTGTAGTGGCTGACAATGTTGTGATATTTAGACTAATTGATGACATTAACAGGAATGCAATTCAAATAAAACTTGCTGTTTTTCAATGTCATGACAGGTAATAAAACATGGCCCACAGTTTCATGTATGTTATTGTTTTTACCATACAAAAAAAAATATTTACCGAGTGATCATAACAGCATACAAGTAAAAATTCAGCTTGTATTCATTGTAAGCCAAATTTTCAGTTGCACGCTAACACTTGACAATGGTTTTTTCATGCATAATTTGACCTGAACTGTGCAGTAGATAGTGCAGCTGAAAATTATCCAGAATTTTTAAATATTGAGGATGGCGAATGCAACACAAAAGTGATTTATCGATATCGATCTTTCAGCATTTTTTGATAAAAAAACCCAGGAATTTAGTAATTTTTGCAAAATAATCTAAACATGGAAAAAGTATTAGACCTTTTTCACAGGTAGTAGGAGCTCATGGTCAAAACTGAGCTTATCCATTCATGCCAGTCATAATAAGTGTAGGTGTCAGTGGCTATGAAAAACATTAATTTGACTTTAATTTAGATGCCAGAAACATTCCAAAAATGGTGCATAAAGTAGAATACTTTTGTCCCCTAGCAAGAAACACATGAACACTGTTGAGAGTGTACACCGGTCTTGTACAAACTATACTTTATCCAGTTTACTTAGTGTAAGGAGAATGTTTAATATATACAATGATATGTTTTTATGACACAATGACAACAACAATGCCAATTCTGTATAAAGTAATACTTCACTGGGCTTTTAGCCATCATCCATGATCACTATGTGATGTCATCTTAATAAAGTTTATGTTCACCAACTGTCAGACTAGATATAAGCAGTCTAGATTATATAGTGAAAGTTATACAGAGGCTATGAAACTCCATGATCAGCAGACTCAGTAACATTTCTTCAAACATACACATTGTGTGACAGACAAATCGTCTTGATGTTATTTCACATTCACTTACAAAGCAAACATACACATTGTGTGACAGACAAATCGTCTTGATGTTATCGCTATCACCCATACAATACTCCAGCTTGACTCCTACATGTATATGATTTTCTTTTCACAAACTTAGTTACAATATTCATATGACCTTTGAACTGACCCTGATAACCAATCGCATTGTACCACAGATGTCACTCATAAATAAACATACCATATTCCTTGCCGTATTTGGAATATAGTGGATAATTCAACATTGTTGAAATTTTTCAATTTGACCCAATGTGCTGTTGGGAAGGAACTGACTCTGCTTGTGTCACATGACTATGTTTACTAAGATAGAATACATGATTGGCAACCAGTTCATCAGTATTCCATCAATAACATATGTATCTACTTTTTAGATATGCACATACCCATTATTATATAGGAATCAAGCTGAAGTCTTGTGTTGGCGATAGCGATAACACTGCAATCAATGGTCTTTGGAAGTAAAAGAGCAACCGAAGAGCATTAACATGTGCCTAAATTGATACGAGATCTACCAGTATATTCAAACCACCTGTCTATAGTGATCCCTTTTAGGCAGTCTCAAGGCATAATGTAAGAGCAACCTATGTATAAAGACTAATGTGACCACCTGCAATATTTTTGCAAATTTTCTTTTGATTAGAGACCAAAATAATAATCACAGTTAGCGTGTGCTGGTTAGAATCACCAATAAATGCAATCACCATATCAACCCATTACATGTGACATACTAATCAAAACAATGACCAAGAAAAATTAAAGTTACACTTACACTGTCTTCCCCATCACTCTAAATAAAAATAAAAATGAGAAACAAAACAGAACAAAACATAAGCCATCTGCAGACAAACTTAAATACCTAAAGCTACATTCAGTAAGAGTCAGTCAATTTTAAAGTAACTTTGAGACATACTCACCCTTGGTTCAGTAAATGTAGTTGCTCCATAGTTTTGAGGCGATGGCTGACCTGATCCTGTTGTGCTGTCTGGTGTGACTATTTCTGGCACTACCACACCTCTCCTGTCCATTAAGCTAAGAGAAAAGTAAATAGATTTTATCAAAGAAAGGTAGATACACAGCAATAAGAAATTGAGATGGATACAGGTAAAAACACATGTAAATATGTATTGTATAAATGTGCATAGCTTGGTGTTAACCAATCCTTAATTTGTTTAATGTGCAAATTGCTGAAACCACACTCCATGTTTCAAAATTCTTGTCATAACAGCATTATAGCAACTTAATGCACAATGAATGCATCAACCTGGCCCAGTAAAGCATAGGCATCTGTAGACTGTAACCAAGGTGCTTCTGTTAGTGAGTGAATCTGCGCTAGTGACAGTGACCTCCCCACTGAGCCTACTGCAAACTCAGCCAGGTGGAGAACAATCACAGACACAACCACGGTTCATGGGTATGGCACAACCACTGATCATGGGTATGGTACAACCACCAATCGTGGGTATGGCTCAACCACAATCGTGGGTATGGCTCAACCAGCAATCGTGGGTATGGCTCAACCAGCAATCGTGGGTATGGCTCAACCAGCAATCGTGGGTATGGCACAAGCACCAATCGAGGGTATGGCACAAGCACCAATCGTGGGT